TTATAGCAGCTGACTAGTGCTATCTATTATAGCAGCTGACTAGTGCTATCTATTATAGCAGCTGACTAGTGCTATCTATTATAGCAGCTGACTAGTGCTATCTATTATAGCAGCTGACTAGTGCTATCTATTATAGCAGCTGACTAGTGCTATCTATTATAGCAGCTGACTAGTGCTATCTATTATAGCAGCTGACTAGTGCTATCTATTATAGCAGCTGACTAGTGCTATCTATTATAGCAGCTGACTAGTGCTATCTATTATAGCAGCTGACTAGTGCTATCTATTATAGCAGCTGACTAGTGCTATCTATTATAGCAGCTGACTAGTGCTATCTATTATAGCAGCTGACTAGTGCTATCTATTATAGCAGCTGACTAGTGCTATCTATTATAGCAGCTGACTAGTGCTATCTATTATAGCAGCTGACTAGTGCTATCTATTATAGCAGCTGACTAGTGCTATCTATTATAGCAGCTGACTAGTGCTATCTATTATAGCAGCTGACTAGTGCGCTGTGCTGCGCCGCAATACTATAGTGATAATATATATTATAACAATATATAATAATGATACATAAATTATAATAATGTATTAAAATAATATATTATAATAGTTTATTATAATAGATAATAAATGTTCTTTGTTTTACATCAAAATCATCCTTAATGCTACAAGGTAATTTTTATTACATTTTTGCGATAAATTAAATGAAATAATGTGCTTGTATACCGCCCATATGGATAGCAACTGACACAAGTGTCAGAGCGGTTCTAAAAGGTTAAATAAAAATATCCAGCAACAAACAACTAGATCATCTATTTTAAAAACGATCTAGAATTGACGAATATATTGAATCGTCTTTGTATACAATTTAGCGAAAATTAGTCATTTGCCTACAGTAACACCTTAACAATTAATATTATTGGGAATTAACATGAAATTAACATGAGTACTAAAACATTTACTAAGATTGATAGTGCTGGAGACCTACCTAATGCTAGAAACTTGATGCTTTACTTGCCAGTTGCCACATTCTACTTAATGCTTTAATGCTTGACACACAGTAGTAGTACTGCAGTGCTGCTACGGCGGCGTGGCCGGAAAATCATCCACGGCGTGCAGCACTGTAGTATTAGTTGACACATATGTGTGAGTATCGTTACCTCATCATCTTTATCCAGAGAGAGATAATCTTCAGGTGTTGGTTTCTGGGTCTTCCCTCCCTCATGATGTCCGTTATTCATAGCTCTACTGAGACTACTGAGACTACTGATACTGTGAGACTACTGAGACTATACTGAGAGACTTCAATGTGAACTATAAAGGAACTGTAAGGGAAGCAACCTGAAGTAGCCTGGACTACTACTAACCATTAACTACCACTAACTATAAGCCTCGGTACCAATGATCCAATGAAGTTGGACGAATGATTTGCGATTGATGGAGAGCAGACAGGCTTATAGCCATTAGCAGGAAATTAGAAAGGAATAACATTAGGCTGTCTGCCCGCCTCCGGTAGTTTGGCTAATTCCAACAATTTTCCCCCCTTTTTCAGCTCTAATCTTTTAATTTCCAATGTTTGCTCATCATTAGAAGTTGGATTAGACTTGTGCATTAATCAAAACGCACGTATAATCCATTAGCAAATAGTAATACCTTGTCGGTTATAATTAGATAATTGACACTATGTATTTAGTGGGGGGGGGGGGGGTGATAGTGATATATTTAGTGGGGGGGGGGCGGGGGGGGGGGGGGGAGGTAGTGATGTATTTAGTGGGGGGGTAGTGAAGTATTTAGTGGGGGGGGGGGGGTAGTGATGTATTTAGTGGGGGGGGGGGGGGTAGTGATGTATTTAGTGGGGGGGGGGTAATGAAGTATTTAGTTGGGGGGGGGGGGGTAGTGATGTATTTAGTTGGGGCGGGGGGTAGTGTTGTATTTAGTGGGGGGGGGGGGGGGGGTAGTGATTTATTTAGTTGGGGGGGGGGGGGGGGTAATGAAGTATTTAGTTGCGGGGGGGATTAGTTAACTGATGTGTTTGTTTGTATAACTTTCCTTACAGCCAATTTCCTTTCCTCCTCATATGTACAGAAAAGAAAGGTACGAACTCGAAGATCGGTCAGAATCGAGCAAATTACAAAATAACGTGCACCTATCATGCCGGACAACCAAAAGTTCCGGTGATTATTTAACGGCCGATGGATTACAACATGTCAGAGTAATACCTAAATACCTTAGATTAACTTGTTAATTATACTTATAGATTATCAAGTTGTGCAATGGGTCATTGTTCATTGGTCAATGGTCATGCAGCTGCAGCGTGCAGCGTACAGCGTGCAGCGTGCAGCGTGCAGCGTGCAGCATGCAGCCTCCAGCGTACAGCATCCAGCGTACAGCATCCAGCGTACAGCGTGCAGCGTGCAGCGTACAGCGTGCAGCGTGCAGCGTGCAGCGTACAGCGTACAGCGTGCAGCCCCTTTAGCCCTGCATCCTTCACGGCAGGCCCCTTTAGCGTGGGAGCCTTCAGCGTGCCCGCCCCAGCCCCCAAAACGGGGCAGCCGGTTTGTTATTTCAACTAAGGGTCACCCAACCCGTAAAACACACAATTTTTTTATTTTGGGAAACCACGTGATACTTGTTAGTAAAACTACTTTTTAAAAAAACCCCAAACCCTTCACTTTTTCAAAAGGGTTATGTAACCCCTGGTGACCGGGTTAATTTCGTTTACCAATAATATTAATTTTCCCGGGCCCTGATTTTAAACCCCAAATTCAAAAATACAGTCCCGCATAGAATTTTTTTTTGGGATTTTTTAAAATGGGGTTCGGAAAAAAAAAAATTGTTGACACCAAATTCCCCCGGAATTTAATTTTTTTTCCAATTTGCCCAAAAACCCGAAAATTTTAAAAAATTTTCAGGGTAAGGGCAAAGGAAAAATTTCCCGGGTTTTTTGGAATCGCGAAAATTTTTCACGGGTTTTCCCCGCCCCCAAACGCGCATTTTTTTTTCAATTTTTTTTCCCCGGGGCCCAAAATTGGGGTATTTTTCTTTAAAATTTTGCGGGCCACAATAAAGTTTTTTTTCAAAAATAAAAATTTTCATCCCCAAACCCTTTTCCCAATGTTGGGGGAAAGTTAACCCCCCTGAAGGCCCGAGGCCCCCCCCGCTTCCCGATTGTAATTGGGGGGAAAGGGGGGGCCCGATCAGGGGGAGCATTAAACCAAAGAACCAAAAAAAAGTTTCCCCAAGGGAAACCTTTTAAAATGTTTGACTTTGGGAAAATTTTTTTTGGGTTTTAAAAAATTTCCCAAAGGGGGTTTTTTAAAAGGGGGGGAGGGCATGGCCCCTTCCCGCCCCCCCCTTTCCCACACCCCTTTTTGAAAAATGGAAAAAAATGGCAGAAAACCCCTTTTGGCCCCCAAAAAAAATAAATTTTACAGTTTTTTACTGATTGGGAATATTGGGAAAAAATGCGGTCAATTTTAAAAAAAAAAGGACGAGGGAAAAGAAAAACTATTGATAGAAATAACTACCATCCATCCGCAAAGGGGCAAAAAAAAATGGACTGGCGATCTTTTTTTTTACGTAAATAATAACCCGAAACCCAAAAAAAGGCCCCAAAAAAACCCAAAAAATTCAAAACAGGGGCCCTAAACATTATAAAAACCCCAAAAGTCCCTTAAAAAAAGCCCCCTAAAATTACTTTGTGTCATTGTTAGACTCGTTTGGGGGGGGGGGTGGGGGGGGAAGCAAACTTTAAAAAGGCTACTGAGACCAAAATATTAGTTTAAGGGGAGGCCCTGAGCAAGGGCAGGGTTAACGGAGAAGGGGAAGAGGTAAATCCGCAAGACCCCACGTCGGGGAGTGGGCAGAGGACTGTATGCCGTAAAAAAAAGACGCCGTCCCCCTCTACGCGTTTTTTTGCTTAACCAAATTACAATGCAGGGGGTAAAAAAGAAAAATTAACCCTCAACTTTTAATTTAAAAGCCAGCACGGGGGGGGGTGGCAGGGGGACTACTAAAACCCCCACAAAACTCCCTTTTCTTTCAGGCCCGGAGTTGGGTGGGGAGGACTTTCAAAACCCCCACAAAAATCATGCTGCACTGAGGTTTTGGGGGGGGAGGGGTTTCTACCCCACACAATACTCATGCGCAGCTGGGGGGAAGGGCTGGGGAGGGCTACTACCCCAACCCCAAAAACTCTTTCTGGCCCGCGAGGGTTTGGGCTGGGAGGGCTACTACCCGCACAATACTCATGCTGCAGGGTGAGGTTTGGGGGTGGTGGGGAGGGGCCCACTTTCCCGCAAAAATACCATGGGGGGCAGCGAGAGGTTGGGCGGGGAGGAATCCCACCCCCACAATAATCAATGCTGCGGGGAGAGTTGGGTGGGGGGGAAAACAAACCCAAAACTCTCAAGTGGGAGCTGAAAAGGGTTTGGGGTGGGGGGGCTACTCCGCACCAAAACCCCATGCTGCCTGAGAGTTTTGGCTGGGGAGGGCCTTTTCTACCCGCACAATACCCAAGCGCAGCTGGGATTTTGGGAGGGGGGGGGGCTACTCCCTTCCAAAACTTCCGGTGCAAACTTTAGGGGGGTTTGGGGTGGGGAGGGGACTACCCGCACAAAAACCATGCAGCAGCTGAAAAGGGGTTTGGGGGGGGGGGGGCAACCTTTCCCACAATACCTTTTTTGCCGGGTGAGATTTTGGGGAGGGGGGGGGGCTACTACCCCAATACTCTGCTGCAAGGAAAGTTGGGCCGGAGAGGGGTACTACCCCCACAAAAAAAAAACCCCGCTGTAGGGTGAGAGTTGGGGGGGGGGAAAAGGGGTACTACCCGCACAAAACCAAAGGGTGCCGCTGGGGGAGTTGGGCAAGGGAAGGGCTACAACCCCCACAAACTCATCTGGCCGGGTGAGAGTTGGGGGTGGGGGGGCTATACCTGCAAAACACTCATGCTGCAGGCCCAAGTTGGGCTGGGAGGGCTACTACCCGCACAATACTCATGCTTGCAGCTGAGAGTTGGGCTGGGGAGGGCTACTACCCGCACAATACTCATGCTGCAGCTGAGAGTTGGGCTGGGGAGGGGCTACTATCCGCACAATACTCATGCTGCAGCTGAGAGTTGGGCTGGAGAGGGCTACTACCCGCAAAACACTCATGCTGCAGCTGAGAGTTGGGCTGGGGAGGGCTACTATACCCGCACAATACTCATGCTGCAGCTGAGAGTTGGGCTGGGGAGGGCTACTACCTGCAAAACACTCATGCTGCAGCTGAGAGTTGGGCTGGGGAGGGCTACTACCCGCACAATACTCATTCTGCAGCTGAGAGTTTGGGCTGGGGAGGCTACTACCCGCACAATACTCATGCTGCAGCTGAGAGTTGGGCTGGGGAGGGCTACTACCTGCAAAAAACTCATGGGGTTGGGGGGGAAACTGAGGGGTTGGGCAGGGGGGGGGCCAAATAACCCCCACCCATACTCATTTCTGGGAGCTGAGGGGGGGGCTGGGGAGGGGTTTCTACCCCCACCCCTCGCTGCAGCTGAGGTTGGGCTGGGGGGGGCTTAAATAACCCCCCACCAAAAAATCATGCCGCAGGAGAAGTTGGGGGTGGGGAGGGCTACTACCCGCACAATTTTCAGGGTGCAGCGGAGGTTGGGCGGGGAGGGCCTACCTTAAACCCCCACCCAAAACTCCCTGCTGCCGTGAGAAATTGGGCGGGGGGGGCTACTACCTTTCAAAACCCCTCATGCGGGAGCTGAGGTTTGGGGCCCGGGGAGGGGTCCCACCCGCACAATACTATGGCAAGGAGGGGTTGGGCGGGGAGGGCTATAAACCCCCACAATACTCATGCTGCCAAACTGAGGGGGTTGGGCGGGGGGGCTACTACCTGCAAAAACACTTTATGCTGCAGTGAAGTTTTTCAGGGGAGGGCTTTCCTTTCCCGCACGATACCATGCTGCAGCTGAGAGTTGGGCTGGGGGGGCTACAAAACCCCCACAATAATCTGCTGCACGAGGTTGGGTGGGGGGGGGCTTTCTTTCCCCCACAATACTCATGTGCAGCTGGAGTTGGGCTGGGGGGGGGCTACTACCCACAAAAAACTCATGCTGCCGCGGAGTTGGGGTGGGGAGGGCCTTTTAAAAAACCCCCCCCAATAAAACATTTCTCAGCTGAGGTTGGGCCCGGGGAGGGTTTCACCCGCACAATACTCATTTCTGCAGCTAAAAGGTTTGGGGTGGGGAGGGCTTTTACCCCAACCAATACTTTTGGCCCGCCAAAAATGAGAGTTGGGGGGTGGGGAGGGGTACTACCCACCCAATATCATGCCGCAGGAGAGTTTGGGCCCGGGGGAAGGGGGGCAAATACCCCAAAAATACCCCATGCTGCACTGAGAGTTGGGCTGGGGGGGGCTCCCACCCGCACAAAACTCCCTGCGCAGTGAGAGTTTGGGGGGGGAGGGCCCACTTTCCCACACAAAAACCCCCTTGGGTGGGAGCTGGATTTTTCGGGGAGGGCTACTAAACCCCCCCCAATACTCTGCTGGGAGCTGGGAGTTTGGGGTGGGGAGGGCTACACCCACACAATACCCATCTTTCAGCTGAGAGTGGGAGGGGAGGGCCTTTAAATACCCACCAAAAAATCCCATGCTGCAAGCGAGAGTTGGGCCCGGGGGGGGCCCACTCCCACAAAAAAACTCTGCTGCAAACTTTAGAGTTTGGGTGGGGAGGGCTACCCAAACCCCCCCACAAACTCGGGGCAGCGAAGTTTGGGCCCGGGGAGGGCTTTTCTACCCGCAAAACATCGTTGGGTTTTAGCGGGGTTTTTTTTTGGGCCCGGGGAGGGCAATACCCACACCAAAACTCAGCTGCCCGGGTGAGCGTTGGGCTGGGGAGGGGTACTACCCGCACAATACCATGCTGCAGCTGAGGGGGTTGGGGGTGGGGGAGGGCTACAACCCCCAAAAAAACTCGGGGTTGTAGCTGCGGGGTTGGGGCTGGGGGGGCTAAAAACCCCACCAAAACCCCCATGCTGCCGCTGAAGTTGGGGCTGGGGAGGGGACTAACCCCGCACAATACTCCATGCTGCAGGGTGAGAGTTGGGCTGGGGAGGGGTACCCACCCCCCAATCCCCATGGTGCGTTGAGAGTTGGGCTGGGAGGGTACCCCACCCCACACTACTCATGCTGCACTGGGGGGGAGTTGGCTGGGGAGGGTATTCTACCCACAAAACACTCAAGCCTTTCCGTGAGGGGGTTTTGGGTGGGGAGGGCTACTACCCAAACAAAATCAGGGTGCAGGGTGAGAGTTGGGCTGGGGAGGGGTACTACCTGCAAAAAAAACTCATCTGCAGCGAGAGTTTTGGGTGGGGGGGCTACTACCCACACAATTTCTCAAGCTGCAGCTGAGAGTTGAGCGGGGAGGGGGAAAAAACCCGCAAAACACTATTTCTGCAGCCCGGACTTGGGCTGGGGGGGCAAATACCCGCACCCAAAACTCCCTGCTGCAAACTGGAAATTGGGCTGGGGAAAGGGTACTAAAACCCGCACCAAAAACTCATGCCGCAGCTGAGGTTGGGGTGGGGGGGCTAAACCCACACAATACCCCATGCTGGGAGTGAGAAATTTTGGGGTGGGGAGGGCTACAAAACCTGCAAAACACTCATGCTTTCAGATGAAGTTGGGCTGGGGGGGGCTACTACCACACAAAACTCATGCTGCAAACTGGAGTTGAGCTGGGGGGGGGGGTACTACCCCCAAAACACTCATGCTTGGGGAGCTGAAGTTGGGGTGGGGAGGGCCCACTACCCGCACAAAACCCTCTGCAGCTGAGAGTTGGGCTGGGGGAGATCCTAATATGCACAAAACTCATGGGCAAACTGAGGTTGGGGGGGGGGGGCTACTAAACCCTCACAATACTCATGCTGCCGCTGGGAGGGTTTGGGGTGGGGGGGTACTTTCCCAACCCCAATAAATCAAACCTTTCAGGAGGGGTTGGGCAGGGGAGGGCTAAAATACCCCCACAATACTCATTTCGGGGGCTGAAGGGTTTGGGGTGGGGAGGGTAATACCCCCCAAAACCCTCATGCTGCAGCTGAGAGGTTTTGGGGGGGGAAAACTACTAACCCCCCACAATACTCATGCTGCAGCGGGTTGGGCGGGGAGGGCCCACTAAACCCCCAAAACACTCCCTGTTTTGGGAAACTGAAGTTGGGCTGGGGAGGGCAAAAACCCACAAATTAATCATGCTGAGCTGGGGAGTTGGGGTGGGAGGGCTAAATAAACCCCCCAAAAAATACCATGCTGCAGTGAGAGTTGGGGGGGGGAGGGCAAATAAACCCCCCAAAAACCCCCGGGGTTTGTAGCTGAAAGGGGGCTGGGAGGGCCTTTCTAAAACCCCCCACAATTAAATCATTTCTGGGACTGAGAAATTGGGCCCGGGGGGCTAAACCCCCGCACAATACTCCTGCCCGCACTGGATTGGGGTGGGAGGGCTACAACCCGGGACAAAACTCCTGCTGGGGGTTGAGAGTTGGGGTGGGGAAAGGGGTACAAACCCCCACAATACCATGGGGCCCGGGTGGGGGGTTGGGGGGTGGGGGGCTACTAACCCCCCCAAAACACTCATGCGGCAGTGAGAGGGTTTTTGGGTGGGGGGGGGCTACTACCCACACAATACTCAAGGGGGCAGCTGGGATTTGGGGGGGGAGGGCTTACTTTTAACCCCGCACAAAAACTCAAAAGCGCAGCTGGAGTTTGGGGGTGGGGGGGGCAAATACCCCCACAATACTCATGCGCAGCTGAGAGGTTTGGGGTTGGGGGGGCTACTAAACCCCCAAAACCCCCATGCCACGAGGGGTTTTGGGCTGGGGAGGGCTAAAATAAAACCCCCACAAAACTCAAGCGCAGCTTTAAAATTTGGGGTGGGGAGGGCTACTACCTGCACAATACTCCCTGGGTTGCCCGAGAGTTGGGGTGGGGGGGGGCAACAAACCCCCAAAAATACTCCCGCTGCAAACTGAAAAGTTGGGCTGGGGGGGGGGTACTTTCCCGCAAAAACATCATGCTGCAGCTGAGGAAATTGGGTGGGGAGGGTTTCTAAACCCCCACAATACTTTATGCTTCAAATAGAGTTGAGCGGGGAGGGCTTTCTAACCCCCCCCAAAACACCTCATGCTTGCAGCGAAGGGGTTGGGGGTGGGGAGGGCTCCTAACCCCCACCCAAACCCGCTGGGAGCTGGGGGTTTGGGTTTGGGGGGGGCCAAATAAACCTTTACAATTTCCAAGGGGCAAACTGAGAGTTTGGGGGGGCCCCCAAATACCTTTACAAAACTCCTGCTGCAAACGAATTTTGGGGTGGGGAGGGCTTACCCACACAATACTCCTGGGTTTCAGTTGGGGAGTTGGGTGGGGAGGGCCACAACCCCCACAATATCATGCTGCAGGAGAGAAAGGGCCCGGGGAGGGCCTACTAAACCCCCACAAACTCGCTGCAGCTGGAGTTTTTGGGGGGGAGGGGTAAAAAACCCCCACAATACCATGCGCCCGCTGAAGTTGGGGGAGGGGAGGGCTTCTCCCCGCCCAAAAAAAAACTCATGCTTCAGCTGAGGTTTGGGGGGGGGGAGGGGGTCAAACCCCCCACAATACTCCGGGGCCGCAAAAAGTTTTGGGGTTTGGGAGGGGTTTACCCCACACAATCCCATGGTGCCGGGTGGAGTTGGGGTGGGGGGGCTACCCACCTGCCAAAAAAACCCATCCCGCAAACTAAAAGTTGGGCTTTGGGGGGGGGGCTAAATCCCGCAAATACCTTTAAGCTGCAGCCGGGGGGGTTGGGGTGGGGGGGGTACTACCCCAACACAAACTTCTGCGCAGCTCAGAGTTGGGCTTGGGGGGGGCTGGGTAAACCCGCAAAACCCTCGTGAAGTAAGGCCCGGGGGGAGTTGGGGGGGGGGGGGGCTATACCCACACAACCCCATGCGCGCTGGGGAAATTTGGGCTGGGGAGGGGCTACTACCCTGCACAATACTCATGCTGCAGCTGAGAGTTGGGCTGGGGAGGGCTCCTACCCACACAATGACTCAATGCTGCAGCTGAGAGTTGGGCTGGGGAGGGGCTACTACCCGCAAAACACTCATGCTGCAGCTGAGAGTTGGGCCTGGGGAGGGCTACTACCCGCAAAACACTCATGCTGCAGCTGAGAGTTGGGCTGGGGAGGGCTACTACCCACACAATACTCATGCTGCAGCTCAGAGTTGGGCAGGGGAGGGCTACTACCCGCAAAACACTCATGCTGCAGCTGAGAGTTGGGCTGGAGAGGGCTACTACCCGCAAAACACTCATGCTGCAGCTGAGAGTTGGGCTGGGGAGGGCTACTACCCACACAATACTCATGCTGCAGCTCAGAGTTGGGCTGGGGAGGGCTACTACCCGCAAAACACTCATGCTGCAGCTGAGAGTTGGGCTGGGGAGGGCTACTACCTGCACAATACTCATAGTCATGCTGCAGCTGAGAGTTGGGCTGGGGAGGGCTACTACCTGCACACTACTCATGCTGCAGCTGAGAGTTGGGCTGGGGAGGCTACTACCCGCCCAATACTCATGCTGCAGCTGAGAGTTGGGCAGGGGAGGGCTACTACCCGCACAATACTCATGCTGCAGCTGAGAGTTGGGCTGGGGAGGGCTACTACCCGCAAAACACTCATGCTGCAGCTGAGAGTTGGGCTGGGGAGGGCTACTACCTGCACAATACTCATGCTGCAGCTGAGAGTTGGGCTGGGGAGGGCTACTACCCACACAATACTCATGCTGCAGCTGAGAGTTGGGCTGAGGAGGGCTACTACCCACACAATCATCATGCTGCAGCTGAGAGTTGGGCTGGGGAGGGCTACTACCCACACAATACTCATGCTGCAGCTGAGAGTTGGGCTGAGGAGGGCTACTACCCACACAATACTCATGCTGCAGCTGAGAGTTGGGCAGGGGAGGGCTACTACCCACACAATACTCATGCTGCAGCTGAGAGTTGGGCTGGGGAGGGCTACTACCTGCAAAACACTCATGCTGCAGCTGAGAGTTGGGCTGGGGAGGGCTACTACCCACACAATACTCATGCTGCAGCTGAGAGTTGGGCTGGGGAGGGCTACTACCCACACAATACTCATGCTGCAGCTGAGAGTTGGGCAGGGGAGGGCTACTACCCACACAATACTCATGCTGCAGCTGAGAGTTGGGCTGGGGAGGGCTACTACCCGCACAATACTCATGCTGCAGCTGAGAGTTGGGCTGGGAGGGCTACTACCCACACAATACTCATGCTGCAGCTGAGAGTTGGGCTGGGGAGGGTTACTACCCGCAAAACACTCATGCTGCAGCTGAGAGTTGGGCTGGGGAGGGCTACTACCCGCACAATACTCATGCTGCAGCTGAGAGTTGGGCTGGGGAGGGCTACTACCCGCACAATACTCATGCTGCAGCAGAGAGTTGGGCTGGGGAGGGCTACTACCCGCAAAACACTCATGCTGCAGCTGAGAGTTGGGCAGGGGAGGGCTACTACCCACACAATACTTGTGCTGCAGCAGAGAGTTGGGCTGGGGAGGGCTACTACCCGCAAAACACTCATGCTGCAGCTGAGAGTTGGGCTGGGGAGGGCTACTACCCGCACAATACTCATGCTGCAGCTGAGAGTTGGGCTGGGGAGGGCTACTACCCACACAATACTCATGCTGCAGCTGAGAGTTGGGCTGGGGAGGGCTACTACCCACACAATACTCATGCTGCAGCTGAGAGTTGGGCTGGGGAGGGCTACTACCCACACAATACTCATGCTGCAGCTGAGAGTTGGGCTGAGGAGGGCTACTACCCACACAATACTCATGCTGCAGCTGAGAGTTGGGCAGGGGAGGGCTACTACCCACACAATACTCATGCTGCAGCTGAGAGTTGGGCTGGGGAGGGCTACTACCTGCAAAACACTCATGCTGCAGCTGAGAGTTGGGCTGGGGAGGGCTACTACCCACACAATACTCATGCTGCAGCTGAGAGTTGGGCTGGGGAGGGCTACTACCCACACAATACTCATGCTGCAGCTGAGAGTTGGGCAGGGGAGGGCTACTACCCACACAATACTCATGCTGCAGCTGAGAGTTGGGCTGGGGAGGGCTACTACCCGCACAATACTCATGCTGCAGCTGAGAGTTGGGCTGGGGAGGGCTACTACCCACACAATACTCATGCTGCAGCTGAGAGTTGGGCTGGGGAGGGTTACTACCCGCAAAACACTCATGCTGCAGCTGAGAGTTGGGCTGGGGAGGGCTACTACCCGCACAATACTCATGCTGCAGCTGAGAGTTGGGCTGGGGAGGGCTACTACCCGCACAATACTCATGCTGCAGCAGAGAGTTGGGCTGGGGAGGGCTACTACCCGCAAAACACTCATGCTGCAGCTGAGAGTTGGGCAGGGGAGGGCTACTACCCGCACAATACTCATGCTGCAGCTGAGAGTTGGGCTGGGGAGGGCTACTACCCGCACAATACTCATGCTGCAGCTGAGAGTTGGGCTGGGGAGGGCTACTACCCACACAATACTTGTGCTGCAGCAGAGAGTTGGGCTGGGGAGGGCTACTACCCGCAAAACACTCATGCTGCAGCTGAGAGTTGGGCTGGGGAGGGCTACTACCCGCACAATACTCATGCTGCAGCTGAGAGTTGGGCTGGGGAGGGCTACTACCCACACAATACTCATGCTGCAGCTGAGAGTTGGGCTGGGGAGGGCTACTACCCACACAATACTCATGCTGCAGCTGAGAGTTGGGCTGGGGAGGGCTACTACCCACACAATACTCATGCTGCAGCTGAGAGTTGGGCTGGGGAGGGCTACTACCCACACAATACTCATCCTGCAGATGAGAGTTGGGCTGGGGAGGGCTACTACCCGCACAATACTCATGCTGCAGCTGAGAGTTGGGCTGGGGAGGGCTACTACCAACACAATACTCATGCTGCAGCTGAGAGTTGGGCTGGGGAGAGTTACTACCCACACAATACTCATGCTGCAGCTGAGAGTTGGGCTGGGGAGGGCTACTACCCGCACAATACTCATGCTGCAGCTGAGAGTTGGGCTGGGGAGGGCTACTACCCGCAAAACACTCATTCTGCAGCTGAGAGTTGGGCTGGGGAGGGCTACTACCCACACAATACTCATGCTGCAGCTGAGAGTTGGGCTGGGGAGGGCTACTACCCGCACAATACTCATGCTGCAGCTGAGAGTTGGGCTGGGGAGGGCTACTACCCGCACAATACTCATGCTGCAGCTGAGAGTTGGGCTGGGGAGGGCTACTACCCGCACAATACTCATGCTGCAGCTGAGAGTTGGGCAGGGGAGGGCTACTACCCGCACAATACTCATGCTGCAGCTGAGAGTTGGGCTGGGGAGGGCTACTACCCACACAATACTCATGCTGCAGCTGAGAGTTGGGCTGGGGAGGGCTACTACCCGCACAATACTCATGCTGCAGCTGAGAGTTGGGCTGGGGAGGGCTACTACCCGCACAATACTCATGCTGCAGCTGAGAGTTGGGCTGGGGAGGGCTACTACCCGCACAATACTCATGCTGCAGCTGAGAGTTGGGCTGGGGAGGGCTACTACCCACACAATACTCATGCTGCAGCTGAGAGTTGGGCTGGGGAGGGCTACTACCCGCACAATACTCATGCTGCAGCTGAGAGTTGGGCTGGGGAGGGCTACTACCCACACAATACTCATGCTGCAGCTGAGAGTTGGGCTGGGGAGGGCTACTACCCGCACAATACTCATGCTGCAGCTGAGAGTTGGGCTGGGGAGGGCTACTACCCGCACAATACTCATGCTGCAGCTGAGAGTTGGGCTGGGGAGGGCTACTACCCACACAATACTCATGCTGCAGCTGAGAGTTGGGCTGGGGAGGGCTACTACCCGCACAATACTCATGCTGCAGCTGAGAGTTGGGCTGGGGAGGGCTACTACCCACACAATACTCATGCTGCAGCTGAGAGTTGGGCTGGGGAGGGCTACTACCCGCAAAACACTCGTGTTGTAGCTGAGAGTTGAGGGTCGGCTGCTTCCCAAGCTTTTAACAACTTACTCTGACACAAATTACTGACAAAGTAGAAGAATTGTCCAAATATTTGGAAAAATATTTGTTCCAACAGTTTGCGACATCAAGCACTTAGTTTTAATGGTATTAATATGTAATATAAATAATATGCTTATATCGTGACTGACATCGCATTCCACGTACAATCTACATACTAATATATCATCAGGACCCTTATAAATGAAAATACTAATATATATTTTAAGAAATGCATGGGCAGAATAGTCATTAAGCTCCATGACAGGCCGGAAGCTGTCATGAATTACGTTATTTTGGTCTAATATAATCGATAATTATTGGAAGGACTGGTCCGATTATGGTATTTATACTTTTTGAGGAATTTATGAGACCAAAAATGTTAATTATAAGCATCAATATTCAATATGTTGACATTTTACTCGTCAACATAATTCGAGTTCTCCGAATCTCTGTATAATATATTGGTCTGTGTTTTAAAGTTATTTCTTTTGTTATTGCCAAAGCGAGCTCTGTTCATTGCGACTTGTCGGTAACTTTATTGTAACTTTATGATTATCACCGCGTAAAATTTTAGTGTAGTTACTGGCAACTATTTTAACTACCTTGATCAAAATACCGTTTATTAGTCAAAAATTTAGCATTTTCCTTTGTCCAATCGATATTTGAGATCCAGAAAAGCCTTCAGGTGATGGGTAACTATAGTGTAACCATGGTGATGGGTATGCAACACTATATAAATAATAACACAGGTCATTATAGTATGTTCAGTGTTCACAATGCAGGGAGGTAAGCTGCCTAGCTGGGAGAATGGTGTCATTGAACATTTTTATATCATTGGTCAATATAAGTAATAAAGAGTGATGGCACAATGCCAACATTATCATGATTGCACCAGGGTTAAAGTGTACAATTTAGGGAAGGTTGTGATAAGCAGAAGGGATCTCTGCAACTCCCGAAGGTCAATGAGAAGACACAGTAACAGTAATAAATAGAACAGAACACGGTTTTAAATGAATGGAGAGTCGGACGTCGTTACCATGACAACGTCGTTGAAACCCACGTCTATCTCATGATAACATATGAACTGCAGAAAAATCGTTTAGTTGCTGTATTACCATCTAGAAAATAATGATATTGTTTTATGACTGTACGGACATATTGCTGTATGGTTTGGAGGGAGGGACACATAATTGATACGAGATTGTGAAGTAAGATCTATAATCGCACTGCTCGCCGATTGAAATATACGCAAAAATGAATGGATGGATCAAATCTTATAAAGTGTAGTAGGGAGTAAATATTATAAAGGAGTAATGATATGGCCACAAATTAGTGCCAGTACTATAGTAATAGAGAGAGAGACACAACTGTCAACAAAGAGACCTGGTTCATTATGTTGCTCAAAATTGCGAAAAATACCTGTAAGTTGTAAATGAAAATCATTATAGCGTTATGGAACTTGGCATGGAAGTACTTCAACTTTCAAGGTCTATGGTCATATCGTGTTGGTGATAATTTATTTGACATAAACGGCCATTTCGCTGAACTTTCCTGTACATATAAATTTACGTATATTATAATGGCCACATTTATAGATATTGATAGCTCTTAAAGAAACTTGTATTTTTCAATTTTGGAGTTAGGGCAAAAACGTAGTTGTTGGCCTATAAAATTATGTAAATATATCGATGTGTCATAAATTGGGCTGGTCGCAAAGAATTTTCTAATACTGCAATCTTACATTTTCTTAAACATTTAACATTTAAAATAAAAACATTTAAAGTTTAAACATTTAACAATTAAGATGTTGTAATATGGTATTAAAATATGATTTGGAACATTACAACAACGCAATTAAAATATCAAACAGAAAAAATATATAAGTAAAAGTAAAGTACAAATTATAAAGCGACATTTTATATATATATGTCTCCAGGTCTCCTGGTAATACTAATATATATATATATTATACCTAGAAAGGCTGTTTTAGAGATTTATCAGTGCTCACTGAAGACTTATCATTGCATAAATAAAAGGAAAACTCGCTATTCCTGCTAGTTACCATGGTTACTATTCCTGGTAGTTACCATGGTTACTATTTCTGGTAGTTACCATGGTTACTATTCCTGCTAGTTACCATGGTTACCATTCCTGCTAGTAGTAGTTACCATGGTTACTATTCCTGCTACTTACCATGGTTACTATTCCTGCTAAGTGCTAAATCCCAAGACGTAAGAGCGGGAGGACGCCCGTTAGATTTAATTGCACCTAATAACTAACACTAAATAATATTGACGCAAAGAATGATAATTACATCCTAGTTACCATGGTTACCATCCTAGTAACCATGGTTACCACCCTTATATGGGCATCATGTGATAACTGCATCCTAGATTGCCAGCAATGACCACGATGTTTCACCTGTTTAGAGGTTTGATGGTCTTGGTAACTTTCCGGCATTAAATTTCGTTTTGACACGATCGTTGACCAAATTTAAAATGCCTTACAAGAAAAATGTACCTTAAGAGAGAGCGATAGTACTCTGTACTATAGTAACAGTGTTAGTAACAGCGATAGTAACAGTGTTAGTAACAGAGCTATAGATACTATTTAACACTATTTAACACTATACTACTACCTTTAACACTACCTTATCAGACCTTATTTGACCGGACATTAAATGAACGGACATAATTATGAACGGAAATTAAAATAAACGCTCGAAGGCATTCAAAACCATCGAAAATCCAAATTTTTTCATCTTCTTGTGGCGTTTTTAAAATGTTAGCAGATTATTTGCCAAGAAAGGCAGTCGTTAAACTTAAACAGTAAAGAATTTCAAAATATCTGTAGATCAGTGTCTATGATTATGAAAGTTGTGTAAAGACAACAGATACGAAATATGACCAGATTTGATGATCATATCACAGGTCATCTTCCTCAAATGGGTTATCGTGCATTAAATATTCCATGCTTAATGCATCATATCAGTAATACCTGCTTTTTGAAATTATTTATTTGACCACCTCGGACCTGCATTTCAGTGTAAACTTTTACAAAATGTGGAGGTAAATAATAACTCCGAAGAAGTGAACGAGAAAGCCGAAGATCAAGAAAGTGATCATGCCATAATGTGATACTTAGAATATTTAAATTGTATAATAACTCGTTTTTCATTGATCCAATTATATAGTTTAATCCGAATCCGATGATAGAAATTACAATCGACTGAAATTAAAAAGTTGTCATATCCTAAACATGAGTTCGCAGTGGAATAATTTTGGAAAAAGTCTCAACGGACTTTAACTTGGACGGACCTTAAACAGACGGACCTTATTTGAACGGACATTAAAATGAACGCTAGGACCTCCAGCGTTCAATTAATGTCTGTTCAAATAAAGTCCGATAAGGTAGAATTATATACTATTTAACGTTAAGTAGGTGTCTAAATATAAAAATATAGAGTTAAATCATGATGGGGTCAATACAATATCAGGACCTTATATCAGGACCTTATATCAGGACCTTATATTAGGGCCTTATATCAGGACCTTATATCAGGACCTTATATCAGGACCTTATATTAGGACCTTATATTAGGGCCTTATATCAGGACCTTATATCAGGACCTTATATTAGGGCCTTATATCAGGACCTTATATCAGGACCTTATATCAGGACCTTATATCAGGGCCTTATATCAGGACCTTATATCAGGACCTTATATCAGGGACCTTATATCAGGACCTTATATCAGGACCTTATATCAGGACCTTATATCAGGACCTTATATCAGGACCTTATATCAGGACCTTATATCAGGGCCTTATATCAGGACCTTGTATCAGGACCTTATATCAGGACCTTGTATCAGGACCTTATATCAGGACCTTATATCAGGACCTTATATCAGGACCTTATATCAGGACCTTATATCAGGACCTTATATCAGGACCTTATATCAGGACCTTATATCAGGACCTTATATTAGGGCCGTATATCAGGACCTTATATCAGGACCTTATATCAGGACCTTATATCAGGACCTTATATCAGGGCCTTATATCAGGACCTTATATCAGGACCTTATATCAGGACCTTATATCAGGACCTTATATCAGGACCTTGTATCAGGACCTTATATTAGGGCCTTATATCAGGACCTTATATCAGGGCCTTATATCAGGACCTTATATCAGGACCTTATATCAGGACCTTATATCAGGACCTTATATCAGGACCTTGTATCAGGACCTTATATTAGGGCCTTATATCAGGACCTTGTATCAGGACCTTATATCAGGACCTTGTATCAGGACCTTATATCAAGACTTTATATCGAGGCCTTATATAGCAAACACGGTTCGAGTACATAATAACCGCAAGATTAGAAATTTATACGATTAGAAATAAGCAAGCATCATTTTGCCAATCATTGAGATTAAAGCTGATTGCATTTTCATGTTGTGCGACGACCAGTTGCAGCTAGAAGTCATGATTATGTGAGAAACACTAATAACTGAGACCACAACAATCCAATCTCACCCTGAAAGTCAGTGCCTGTGGGGAGGTAGTAGTACAGTCAGTTATGCACGAAAGCTGTAGAATATCTGCACGGTTTGAGAGAGTTTTTTCCTGAAGCACAGGCCTTCATTAAGGTATAAATAACTCAATTTCACTCGGAGACAACTTTTTTAGCTTGGGCATAATCCTACAGGACGCTTTGAAGTTGAGTCACCGAATCGCGACTGACCTAGGGTTGCCATTATCGGTACACAATTTTTTATCGCGATAATCGATAATTTTTTCTAAATTATCGCGATAATATCGGTTATCGGCGATAAATTTGGCAATATAATTGAAGTCATATTTGTATGCACTCTGCATACTTGCATTATGCTCCTATGCTATGTTACATCTTGTGCTGATTGCTTTGTTAAAGAATCAATTGCAATATTGCCCTTTTATGTAACAAGCCCATATTTCATAGACAAAATATGTTCTTAAAGACAATTATTGCTTCTAGCAAAACATTTTTTAAAGTTTGCTGCCTGTTAGCTGTGAACAGACCTATCGTGCGAGGGTATCTGTCCTTGCTACCGTAGTCGAATCGCTGCCCTAATGTAGGTCTGATAATTCTTTTATCAGCGGGATAGGATTGGAATCTGGCATCTGAAATTGTGGGAGTCGCCTGTGAGTCCTGAGGACCAATCGTCGAACTACTTGAGAAGCTCAATCGCTGTTAGTCTCTTTCTGCTTAAACAACCGCTGGTGCAGAGACTTAGAGTTACGTATCAAGGTTGACTTTGTGATCATTCTGTATTCTTGTCCTACATCTTCATCTAGAATACCAGGGTCCGAGTAGAACTTTACCAGCGATACGAAGTGAAGGTTCTTTCTCTTGGCATATCGTGTACGTAGCCTATCGAGAAGGGTTCGAGAAAGTGGCGAGTCTATCTCAGATCTCTTCTAGCTTGCTGTCAATGAACTAAATAATCACTTCTGCTTGAGCGAGCATGCTTCCTCTTTTACACAGAAACTCTTAACTCAGTTACAATCTTGAACGGTGTGAGAGCTAACTCATTCTCTTGTACATCCAGTTTAAGATTGCCTAGCTCCAAGTCATCTAAAATGCCGTGCACTGCATCAGTTATCCGGTCATATCTCTCCAACATACTGCACAGCGAGCTCCAACGAGTTTTTTAGTCTCGTTGCAGTGTGAGTTCCTTTCCGTGCTTCAACAATAACTTCGTCTGGCCATACAACCTTCATTAAACTGCAAATTATGCTAGCACTGGGTTTTAACTTTACAAATAGAGAAATAGATTCGAAAAATATGTTAAATGTTGGCCATTTTACCCTAATAAAAATGTGTCGTTTATCGCGATAATTCTCGAAAATTATCGCGATAATCGATAACGATTTTTGGGAAATTATCGCCGATAATTATCGGCCGATAATATCGGTTGGCAACCCTAGACTGACCCGCACTTAAAATGTGCCTAACTCGGCTTCTAATTGACCAATCGAAATGAGTGAACACGTCAAAATGACCGGAATGATCACATTAATAGGGGCGAATCAAGGTTTTAAGGTCCCAAACCCTTTAGTTTTTGAGTTATAAGACAAAAACAGTGTAGCGAAGCCAAAAAATCAGGATTTTGAAACTTTATTTATCGAGGGTTTTAGAAGATCCTCAACCCCATCAAAATGACCGGAATGAGCACATTAGTGTAGGCGAATGAAGGTTTCAAGGTCCTAAACCCTTTATTTTTTGAGTTATACACTAAAAACTCTGCCGCGAAATCACAAAATTTGCCGCGATAAGTATCTTTAAGAATAATAATTAAGTCTGTAACATAACACATTTTTTGTAGTTTGAACTTATCAGGATTGAAAATAACGACTCTAAACATTTAATAAACAGGTAGAATTTGATGTAT